ATTGCAAAATCGTTGTCCCCTTCTTAGCAAGTGTGTCAGCAATCTCATTGCCTTTAATGCCACAGTGACCAGGAATCCATTGCAGGACCACTGTTTTGTTTTTCTCTCTCAGCAGCTCATAGAGTTTTCTACATTCCTTTATCTCAGCTGTTTTGGGTGTCTCTCTGTTTCCAATAGAGTTTATTGGTGACTGTGAGTCCGAAAGTATCACCGCTTTGGTGAATTTCGTATCCAGGCAACATAATTGGCATAGTGCTATCCTAATGGCCTCTATTTCTCCTTCAAAAGCGGATCTATTATGTCCCGCTGCTGCGTAGAAAGAGAAGAGTTCAGAATAGACACCTGCACCAACGTTTGCTTGGTTTTCTGTGTATGACCCATCAGTGAAGACTTGGAGCCATTGATCTCCAGGATAGTTGACATTGATTGTCTCAAGGGCCAGTGAGCGCATTTGCTCGGGAGGAGTGTTTGATTTCCTGAAGAAGTCGAGCAGTTGGGTGCGACACACTACATCAATGTCTGCTAATGGGTTCATGGGGAGAGAGGCTTTTTGGTTGATCATCGATTTGTAACGCTTTNGCTTAGTTGGCACTTTCCTTGACATGCTTTTGCTGCCGAAGGTAATACTAGCAATGACTGGTTTGTGACCAGAACCAGGATCGTCAATTATTTTGCGGTGTGTGTGCTCACTGATGTCGCTTGAAGCCAAGAGTAAATCAGGAGTTGTTCTGGATCCATTGTAGGGCAAATATGTAGCCGGATCCTCATTGCTATAAATAAGTTCCAGAGTGTTGCTGTTTAGCATGTCTTCAATTTCCTTTCCAGCTATGTTTGTATCCTTGTAGCCCCATCTGGTGGAGTGGGCGTTGAAGTCTCCTAATACTATGGTTTTGTGTGAGATGTTCAGAAAGTCAAAGTTTGGACAATTCTGGGGAGGATTATAGACTGCATATATCTTGAATTGGTTTTGACATTTCCAAACATTTAATCTGATTATTTCACATTTGTCTTGTGTCGAGCCCATACTCTTGATTAGGTCGTAGTGTGAGGTTAGGCCATCTTTTACTCCAGTTAGAATTCCACTTGCAACTTGCCGGTATTTAGGTAGATTGTACAGGGTGTAACCTGGGAATTGGTAATACTTCAGTTTGTCATCCGAAATGTTAGCTTCCATAATTGTGAAAATGTCTACATCATAGGTTTGCAGGATTTTCTGTATTTGGTTCTTTTTGTCCAGAGACATTCCTCCAGCATTCCACTGGAGGATCTGAAGACGAAGTGATTCGCCCTGACGAGGGCGATTTTTCGTATAGCCTTTTTTAAAGCTAATCATAATTAATCGAAGTCAAAAACGAATGCCGAGTGGTAGACTTTTTTGCCGTAAGAAAATACGTTGTCCAGGGTGCACCACGAGGAGGTAAGTCTATCGCGCACCCCTTGCCTAAAATATGAGTTGGATAAGAGGATATGCTTAGGCCACCCTTCTTTTAGTTAAGGAAAAAGAGAACGAGGTTTGAGAAATTTCTGAGCTGTGCGCTGAAATTTCTAGAACTTAAGTTCCATGTTTTTGCCAATGTCTGATTGAGGCTTTTTGTATGTGCGCACTGGCTTAAAGTTTTCCAAGCAATATAATATATGGCATACTTTACTTCACAATCTAAATATAATAAATAATCTTACTAAACCTGAATAATTAAATAATTTCGTAAAATATAATTAAATGTCTTTTGTTTTTGAACATGACTATATCTTACTAACTCATAACGCCTTTGGTGTGGAAGGTTATTACTAAGTTTGCTAGGACTAACTAAAGGTATTGGCAAAATATCTGAAAAGTGAACTAATTACGACTAAATTCAAGGTCATGTGACGGCAGGGGACTTTGAAATGCTTCCACATAAACCGATGAAAAATGGCACATTCACATGCATAACCCTGGAAATGACCTTGATTAAGCAATCTCCTTCACCGTTTTCAGGTTAAAATGCCCCTCGTTAAAATTGCCATTCGTATTCAGACCGATAAATCGACAGTTGGATAGCTTATAGAGTGGATTAATGGGAAACTATTAAATAAATTAATGCCCATTTATCTCTCCAAATTAAGTAACAAATTAAGTATATTCTTTTAAATGATAAACCCAATGAAAGCTTAGGTAGGTTGCCAATTTATTAACGAAATCAAATTTTGACATTCTGGCTTTTAGACATTGACAGAAATACTTCACCTCTTGCCAAGGCTAAATGACGATGCTTTGGCTCTGCTGGCCAATGAAATTGCCAATAGACGTCATCGTCGTCTTCCCGACGGTTTAATAACTCCTGCGTCACCAAAGAGTCCTTCCCCATCGCCGTGACTTTGATTAAATTTATGCAATTTTTTTTTCGTTTATCTTCTTGTCCGGTTTTACTAAACAACGCTGTTTCTGTGAGTTTCCTTGACTAAAGTAGTGACTCGTTTTAAATAACAATGACTAACCTGTCGATGTTTGCTCTGGAATTTTAAGTAAAACTACACAGGATTGCAAAAATTTGAAACTAACAACTCCTTCACATTATTAATTCTATCATATGGAAAGCAATCTCTCTGGATACTTCAAATTAGCTGCAAAGTCAATCGTGGACGCATATTCAAATATGCAGAAATATGGCTATATTGAAAATCAATATTTAGTTAGTTGTCATGATTATGTGTCCATAGCAAGCGATATGGCATTCTGGTTTTATTTTTTCTTTCTAGCTTTTAGTAATAAAAAGAAATAGAGAGTAAAACCAAGGAAGTTATTGAGAAAAATCAAAGTAAGTGTAGATATAGAAGAACTTCCCGAAGCCTTGAAAAGATGACCAAGTTGAAGAAAATGTTCATATAAGTACTTATGCATTGGCCAAAATATGACTCATCATTTCATTTCTCATGAAAGTTCCATCCAATTAAACAAAAAATATATCATTTAAAATATATACCTTCATGAGGGGTTCTATTTATTTGCGATATTTAACAGGGAGGACTTTTCTTCCTTTATAATTCAAATCAAGCACTAAATCCTCCACAATTCCTTCGTTCTGCAAGTTTGGAATAGTGCAATGCTAACCACTACCATACAAGGGCAAGGTAGATTATTATGACCGCATAGTTATTGTATCAACGAAAATTCGGAAATACCTTTATTGAACTTCGGTTATTTGTCTCTCATAATCATTCATGACAACAATTTAAGACATTTTGCGTCATTCATTCTATCTCCTCAATATTATTGCTATAGTCTACCTAATTTTAAGAGGGATTTCGGCACACAGATTTATTTGTGTGGTAATCGGCCACAAGCACACATTTAATGTCTATTTCTTGTACTATAAGCAGTGCTAGCAATGGATCTAAACACTTTCTCGTATTTTGGCCTCAACCGTTTTGCTACCATCTACATTTGCCAAGTCTTAGCTCAACAGATCATTAAATAAAGCTCTATTTTATGTAGATTTAAAAACAAATGCTCATATAGTATTCCTCTTTTTTTCTCACAGTGCTCTGGGAATTCCAATAAGTCCGTTTTTTTGCGTTTCCACTGATTAGCTGTTTGCCAAAAGTGCAAAACCTTAGCTACAACTTCAATTTTCCCTAGGAAAGTAGACAAGAAAGAAAGAAAGAAAAAAGAATTAATTGTGCTCTATTAAGAAGTCCAATAACGCTCAAATTAGAAATTCGGGAAGGTGTGTGTATGTGTGTGTGGAGGGGTGGGAGGAAGAGGTGTAGGCAGAATTGGTAGATTTAAAAGTTGGAAATATTTTTATTCATATCATGTTGCCCTATCGTATCTTCGCACTAAGGAACTATGTGAATATTACATTCTCTTTTACCTAAATTTAAATGTCTGAATTGAGAATCATTTTTAAGGGCGGACTTTTATGAACTACATTTCATTAACCTGCACTTTCTTTTTCACATGGTTAGACATGCGGTTCTGAAGTAGGTGATTGCAAACAATGCGTCTTACTGAAACTCCAGAAGAGTTGATGATGGAACATAGATAAACTTTAACCAGGATAATTATTCCATTTTTATTAACGAATGAGGTAAGAAAAATTTCTATTGCAGCACAGCATTAAGGCCTTGTTTTTTTAACATGGGTGAACACGGTATTGCACTATTAAGTGGAAATGCAAGGATAATAAAAGGCGTACACAATCAATCTCCTTAAATTGCCAGTTATCTGATTAGAAGACATAGAACAAACGAATGCGTTCAGTCAGGTCAAATTTAAGGAGGTCAGTGTGTGGGAAATTAAATTAATAACATTAATCATGCAGAGAGTATGCATTCTGATGTACATGTTGAAAGGGAAGTCAATTGCCGGTTTGATAGACTTTTTGCCGTTTGAGTATACGTTACCCAGGGTGCACCACGTGGAGGTAGGTCTATTGCGCACCCCAAGCTTCTGACTTCAAACTACTACGACCCGACAACTTGTCATATTCGACCCCTTTCACAGTACTCATCTTACCTTTTTTATGCCTTTGTGTCTGTCTGTCTCTTTTACCCCTGTGAATCATTATTCTGTCTCCCATCTCGACTTTTTGTCACTTTAATGTTCCTCCTCCTCTCTGTGAAGCCCCGAAGTCAGCACCAGGGCTAATGATAACTATCAAAACGCCTGCCATTTGATATAAATAAATAATAATGTTGGAAGGGAGGAAATTAA